AGAGAGAGAGAGATGTTGAGATGAGAGAGAGAAGAGAGAGAGAGAAGACGTGAGAAGCGAGAGAGAGAGAGAGAGAGAGATGAGGAGGAGAGAGAGAGAGAGCAGAGGAGAGAGAGAGAGAGAGGGGCAGAGGAGAGAGAGAGAGAGAGAAAGAGAGAAGCAGAGAGAGAGAGGAGAGCGGCAGAGGAGAGATGTGGAGAGGAGAGAGTAAGTGAGAGTTTAGAGAGAGAAGCCAGAGAGAGAACGATGAGAGAGAGATGAGAACGAGAGAGAGAGAAGAGAGACTAAGATAGGGGAGAGGAGAAGAGAGAGAGAGAGAGAGAGAGAAGAGAGAGAGAGGAGAGAGAAGAAGAGAGAGAAGAGAGAGAGAGGAGAGGAGGAGGAGAGAGGAAGGGAGAGAAGCAGAGGAGAGAGAGAGGAGAGAGAGAGAGAGCGAGAGAGAGAAGAGAGAGATGAGAGAGGAGAGGGAGAGAGCAGAGGTAGAGGAAGAGAGAGAGCGGGGAGAGGAGAGAGAGAGAGAGAGAGGGAGAGGAGAGAGAAAGATAAGGAGAGAGAGGAGAGGAGCAGAGGAAAGGGAGAGAGAGAGAGGGAGAGGAGAGAAGAGAAGAGAGTAGCAGGAGAGGAGGAGAGGAGAGAGAGAGAGGAGAAGAGAGAGAGAGAGAGAGAGAGGACGAGAGAGAGAGAGAGAGAGAGAGAGGAGAGGAGGAGAGAGAGAGAGAGGAGATGTTGAGGAGAGAGGAGATGAGAGAGAGAGAGAGGGTGGGAGAGAGAGAGAGGAGAGAGGGAAGGAGAGAGGGGAGAGGAGGAGGAGAGAGAGAGAGAGGAGAGAGGAGAGAGATGAGAGAGGAGGAGAGAGAAGGGAGAGGAGAGAGAGAGAAGAGAGGAGGGAGAGAGAGAGAGAGGGAGAGGAGAGGAGGAAGGAGAGAGGGGAGAGGAGGAGAGAGGAGAGGGAGAGGAGAGAGAGAGAGAGAGAGAGGGAGAGAGAGAGAGAGAGGGAGAGGAGAGAGAGAGAGAGAGAAGAGGAAGAGAGAGAGCAGGGAGAGAGAGAGAGAGGGAGAGGAGAGAGAGAGGGAGAGGAGACGGAAAGGGAGAGGAGACGGAGAGGGAGAGAGAGAGAGAGAGAGAGAGGGAGAGAGAGGGAGAGGGAAGGGAGAGGGAGGAGAGGAGAGGAGAGAGAGCGAGGAGAGAGGAAAGTGAGAGGAAAGAGAGAGAGAGTGAGAGGAAGAGAGGAGAGAGGAGTGAAGAGAGAGGGAGAGGAGAGAGAGAGAGAGGGAGAGGAGAAAGAGAGGAGATAGAGAGAGAGAGAGAGAGAGAGAGAGAGAGAGAGATAGAGAGAGAGGATGAGAGAGAGAGAGAGAGAGAGAGAGAGAGAGAGAGAGAGAGAGATGTCCACTAAAGATGTCACCATAATTTCCCCGAATTTTCCCACAGATCATCCATGTGATTTTGAGACGTCTGACCTTTGTGAATTCGCTGCCACTGACCTGGAGGGAGACTTCTGGGCATGGGGCTGGGGAACTAATCCTGATCTGAATAATGCACCGGAAATAGATCACTCGTACGGTATGTTATAATGGAAAAGATACAATTCATTGAAAGGGAGGCTAGGACAGTGTGTGAAATTAAATAAACGAAAAAAAATCAAGCCGATATGACTGTGGTTGACATAACAGGCAGATGTATGTTTTAAAGCAGAAGAATATTGCATAAAATGTTACTACTCCAGTTATGTGCTTCCCTACCTTAACATTTTCACACACGCGCCCCCCACCCCCCACCCCCTTTACACCCACACAAACGAAATCCCTTATATTTAGAAATAAATAAACGTAGATTTTTTCTAATCATGATATGACAATTGTGTATCTTCCTATAGGCTCAGCCGACGGCCATTATGTGTTTCTGAACCACCGCAGTAGTGAGGTAAAGACCGATGCCTACCTTACAAGCCTTACAGGAAGCAGCTCTGGCGCCATGTACGTTTATCCAGTTTTGTACATTTTTATATTACATATTCATGTGGATATCTAAAGGCACTATATTTAAAT